ACCAAGCCGGTCTGCTGCCAAAATGATTACTTGTGCAATGAGCTTATGATCTCGGCAGAGAACAAAGATTTCGGGCTACGCGCGGATGTTTGTTGTGGGCTGCAGCACAGACATGTTATAAAACAGCTCCAAACTGGCAGGATTTCTTCAAAACAAGAAAAAAAAATATCCAAACAAACAGACCCTGAATTATTAATGGGCTCAGCTTTCTCAAGCGATGAGCGGCAAGCGGGGTGAGCACAGGTCTGGGGGCTTGGCGGGGAAGGGGGTGGAAGGGCCATCGCTGCGAGCAGTCCCTTACGGCTGCGGGCTGGGGGGAAGACACTTGAAAGGGGGAAGCCGGGCTGGCGGTTAAAGGAAACAGATCCCACTACAAAAAGGACAGACCTCTGCACATCCTCCTGTCAGCCGGGGCTGGGGAGCATCCCTGCGGGGGGGGACGGCAGTCCCTGGATCCCCTGCACTGGGGGGCTCCCTCCTGTTGCGGGGCTCCCTCCAGCCGGCTGCACCGGCGGGGAATGGGGCTGTGCCTCTGCCACCACAGCACGGCGGGGAATCGTGCCCAAAGTCGTGAAAATAATGGAAGAGCTTCAAATGACAAATATTGGGGCGGTCCTGCAGAGCAGACAGAGCCTGGCCATGGTGTGGGTGGGCAGCAGCCGCATGGGGACAGGCTCTGCCTAGGGAGCACCAACGTGCTGCCTCAGGGGGAAAAGGGGGCTCCCCCCAAATCCCGAAAGGACGCGGTGGGATGGGGCTAGCCTTGGACAAGGACTTTCAGCGCTGTTGGGTGGCAAGCAGCCGCTCTCCATGGCGTGCATTTAATGGCAGCCTCTGCTCCATTGAGCACATCTTCCCCAGGGTTACTCCACCGACTTCAGTTTATTCCACATCTACTTGACCAATCTCACCTCCGCCGAGGGAGGTATCATCTCATTAGTACACAGACATATCTCAAGTATGCAGTGATGAATTCCCCCCGGAGCTTCAAAAGCAATAAATGTGACCTTTGCATGTTCCTGCCATAAAATACCAGGAACACCTCCAGCTCCCAAGATAGAAGCTGTGGTGGGCATATGTGAGCAGCATACACCATATGGATTAAGTCAAGGGAATACTTAGAAACTTCGACTCTGCCTTCAGCAAAATTGATTCCGGCAACGTTTTTAGCAATTTCTTGAGGATTTTCCATGTGTTTATTAAGTGCCAATCACCACAAAGGGATCTTTCAGCCTTGGTCTTTGAAGTCTCTCTAGCCCCACTCTTACAATAGCTTTGGATTTAGTGGCGATCACAAAATACAGCATAAAATGTTAATATAAAAACGAAGGCTTTCCTCTAAAAGGAAAGGCCTGTGCTGCCTGGAGTGGTGTACACATAAATCTAGTTCAGGGTTTCATTCAGACTCCTTCAGACTCACTTTTTTCACTCTCTCATATGCAGCAGCAACAAATAAAACATTCAGGCGTGCTTAAATATTGATTTCATTTCTAGCGCACAGAAGTTCTTTAAACAGTACATGTCTACCGAGTACAGTAACAGCTACTGAGGCATCTTAGTGGGGGGGGGGTTAAAACTATTTAAAGCTGTCTTATGAGAAAAACTTTTGCTTTTCAGAGCAATTCCACCTAATTGGGAGAGGAGCCGGCAGAGTTCAGAGAGCTGGAGCTATCTGGAGGTTTATCTGATCTCGGTGATAAAATTCCATCCCTGGGGTGACCTAAAAAGGACTGGAAAAGGCATGTGCTATGTGCTACGTGGATGAACGCTGCACTAACGGCAAAGCAAGAGCGATGATCTCATAGGTGTTTTCCAGCTCTCCTCCCCGCAGCTCCTCAAGAGCCAGTCAGAGATCAGGCTCCTTCTTTGTCATTAAATATTTTGGGAATGACACATTGTGCCCCTGGACTGCCCAGTGACAACAGCTCAGCTGAACACCCAGGAGGAATTTAAACTTCTGCATATCTCTTGACACTGGGAGATAACTCCGGACTTCTCTGAATAGGAGGACAGGCTGCAATTCTCCAGTTAAGTCATGTTAATGATCTCAGAGATTAGCAAAGCCGGTTTGGAAACCTCAGTATGTCATTAATGTCGAGGGCTTCCGGGAGAAAGCGCTATTTATGGACTGCCTTCAGACCAACCTCGGCAGGCGGCAATCTTCTGCGTTGGGTGGTGAAGGGCACGAGCTCCACGTCCCATCCCCGCTGCACCCGGCTGCATGGCTTCTCCCATATGGGAAGCAGAAGGAGCAGAGCCTCCGCTCTGGCACAGCCCAGGAGGCGAGCAGCGATAGATTTGCCGCAACAGCTTTCCTCTACGTGCACCCAAAATCCATCACTTCCACTGGCAGGAAAACGCATCCCCCAAAGAAGCCCGTTGCCCGCGCAGCCCTGATGCCCCGCAGCCTCTGCGGTCCAGCCCCCCCGGCAGCACCAGGCACGGCCGGCGTGGGGTGATGCGACCGTGGTCCCGCAGCCAGGAGCGCCAGCACCCGTCCCGCTCCCTACCTGCCAGACCCCCAGCTCCCTGCGGCGCCGGGGATGGGTTATTAATCAATGCCACATGTTTTCCCTTTCAAGTCACTGGAAAAAATGCACTGGCCCTCACACTGCTAGAGAAGTCAGGACGGCTGGGGGATGGGGCGAGATACCAGAATCCTTCGGGCTGAAGCCATATCCGCAGTGGATTTCACATGCCAAATGCTGGTTTTCAAAGCTACTCTCTCCCCAGTGTATTTAAGGTTCAGCCAGTAATTACAGCGCTCTTTCAGCAACAGAAATGGGCTGGAGAATCAGCTGATGGACAATGAGGCTCTTTGCATTACCACTGCTGAAATCCCCTGGGTTCGTTATTACCATCTATAGTTGGTTATGGCAGGAGGGCTCAGGGGCTTCGTCAGAGACCGTGGTCCCATCCAGCCCGGTGCTGTACAAGCACCTCCTAAGGACCGTCCTTGAAAAAGCTGACTGGCTGATAAATGACAAGGAGCTGGAGGAAGAAAAATGCAGCTTGCTCAAAATTGCACAGAGGGTCAGCAGCAAAGCATCGCCCGTGTCCCGACATCGGGTTCAGGGCGTGCTCATCAGGATGCTGCGATGCCAGCCCACCCAACGCGCCTGCAAGGAGCGGGGCTACCAGTGGTATGTGGCTGTGAGGATGCTCAAACTCTCCTAAATCCAGCACGCTCCCAAGGCAGCGTCGCTGGCGAAGCCGCCTCTCTCCCCCAACACACTCAGGTTTGGCACACGCCAGCCCGAAGGTGACGTGCCGCTCGCAGCCGCAGGGGACAGCCAGCTCCCGTCTGGCCTGGGGCAGGGGCATCCCTGCCCCAACGGCACCCGTCTCATCTCAACCTTCCAGTTATCCATCAGCATGGGAGCTCCACATCTGAAAGCCATTTAAGACATTGCATTTGTAACCTAATACTTTGAAGAAATAATAAAGCGAGCCAAATTTAACCCAACTGAGCTGGAGAAGCCAAATCTCTGCCTGCTGCCTTTCTAGAGACTTATGAAATACGTACAAGGGGGAAGTGGAAATACAGACAACCCTTCTCTGGAGCCCAGAGACACCTCCGATGGCCACCCAGCTGTGGAGATGGCGAGGGAAATGCAGCAGGAGATACAGTGAAAGCACGGTGGAGTCAAAGGGACTCCCAGTGCAGTACAAGCCAGTTTCTTGATGCAGTAATGGCAGCTGTCCAGTGTTAGGAAGGGTGGATCCTCTGCAAGGCACTCGAGTGGGACCGAGCCACTCGGCTTTGCCCAGGAGCCCCGTCTGCTCTGCCCAAGGACTTGACCATAGCTGCCAGTATCTCAAAACCTGGGTGTGCTAATGACAGAGCTGAGGCTGCTGATACAGGACCAGTTAACGAGGGCAAAGCTGACTGCGATTTGCTAGTGATACTACAGGCTCCACAACACCGAGATTATGGGAAATCCAATACACAGGATACGTATAACAGATAATTAGCCAAAGTCTAAAAGCAGCCTCTACAACTTTCTCAAGGTCCCGGAGATCACGGTAACAAAATTTCCTTGTAAATCATGAGTACCTCAGAAGAACATACTTTGTCCCACCCTTGAAAGACCTTTGCAACAGGGAGTAATGCTTCATGTAGGCACATTTCAGCTTTCACTAACCTCACAAGGTGAATGTTTTATTGCGTTGTTATTCTTACCTGCGTAGCAGCAGCCACACCACAGCAACCCTTACCTAACAAGGACTGGAAAATCCCTCCACAGTCTGGCAGGATTGCACACCCACGTGTCTGTGCCAACAAATCTGCCCAGCAGACCATGCTAAGCACTACTGCCAATGGTCAAATTCCAAGTCCAGGCACTTGCTCTCAACCGAAATGCACTAATGGATTTTAAGAATGTGCAGTGATATAACAGCAGCGATGCAGGCAATGTTATGCTGTGGTATTTAGAGACACCTGGGAAAGGAGAGACAACCCAGGACCAGCATTTCTGAGAATTACACATTTTGACTAGGAAATCCTCTTTTCTCTGACTCCATCTGCCCAGTTGGCTACAGTTGGAGAAATGTTGGAGAAATGCTTTCAGATGTGGCCAAAGGAAGAAGAGTCGGGGTCAACACACCCATCCTGACCAACACCTCCTCCTGCAGTACAGATGCTGCAGGGATGAGTACAGGAGATGACGATGGTCATGAAATCAGAGCACGGTCATGAATGATCTGGATCTATCGGTTCTTCTGCAAACCAGAGCCCTGCTCCATGGAGCACGCTGCGCTGTTCCTACCATCATCTGGTTTGCCCCATTCTTCTTGGACCACGTCCCAAAACCCCTACGTGAGTGAGAGGCACTGAAATGCACTCGAGATCCTGCACTGCAGCAATCCGTGTGACCTCTTTTGGAGAGCCTCAACAAAAATTTCTTCTTCAAGGCCTTTTGTGGCACGTGATTACTTAAAAAGACCGAATGCCCACTCTGGGATTCCCAGGCAAGGAGAAAAACAACAGCAATACTCACCCATCTCCTTGAGCTCCATATTAACAAGTTCCAACCAGCAAGCATCGAGTTCGTCCAGGTCATAGCGGCTTACTCCTTGCAAGTAAGTCCTCGTAGCTTCTGAAATCTCAGAGCCAGGCAGGCTACTCGGTGAAACCTGTGACGGTGAGTTCTCCAGCTGGGGTATGATCCTGGAAGAAAAGGAGGAGAGGTTGAGAATGAGCTACAACTCGCAAAAGTATGCCGTTTCTTGCCATGGAGGGTGCAACCATACTGTGTACAAACCTGACTCTAAGAAGGAAAGCAAGCCCAGCAAAATCAAAGGGGGTTTGTGTGCTCAGTGTCATCTCCTGTGCCTCGAATGCTCTGAGGAACCACAACTTGGACACCAGCACTTTCCCAGAGACTGCTGGTCTGAGCACCTTACGTGATGGTTTGAGTTGGGATGCATCAAAACAAGCTGATTTTCAGAAAATGCTGAGCACACCCCGGCTGCCAGCTCCCCTTCCCGGGACCTCAAACTGGCTGCAAAAGGCTGGACATCCTCGGTATCACGACCAACTTAGGAAAACTTCATTAATCTTTTTCTCCAACAAAACGGTAAAAAAGCTTTTGAGGTCTTCAGAGATAAAAATCATGTAAAACCAGAGAAATATCCACCTTTGACTGTGACAGATGACCGGTGGTCATGGGCTGGGAGTTTGCACTTTTCCCAGTGTCCCAGAGAAAAGCGGCGCGGGGAAGTGGGAGTGCGGCGGCATGGCTCTGGCATCGCGCC